ATATGATTGTGGGAAAATTCTAATACCAGTCCTTCATCACCTTACACGAAATAGGGTGAATACATCTCATAACATACAAAGCTGCCAGCGAGTCTCAAGTCAAATGGGGCCTTCAAGGCAAGCCAGACTTCTCAAAATTCTCCTATCTCTTGTAGTTACCATTAAAATCGATGAAGTTACCATACACATAGTGCGTGAGTTATGAAACTATCTCTAGATCTTCAAAAAGAACCTTAACCATCTTATGTCGCTTAGGATAATGTAAGTACTATTGTTAGAGTTTTTCCTACAGCAATATGAGTAGACCCGACAATATTAGTGAATTTCACTTTGTAGTGCTTCCCAGAAGGTTGTGTCAGACAGGCTTTTGAAGAAGTCAACTGGTATCTGCCGCTATAGTTGACGATCATAAAGCTTCGAAACTGCTGTACAGTCTAGAGGAGTAAAGATGTCGGGAGGCATGGTTTAGTGAAATTCAACATTATCATAAGGTTTATTCATATAATTGTAAGAAAAGTCGAATATGAGATGTATTCACCCAATTTCGTTTAAGGGGATGAAGGACTGGTAGACGAATTTTCCCACAATGATATGAGTAGAGCTGACGTTTCCATTGAATTTCACATAGCCTTGCTTTCTCAAAAGTTGTTCTCATCAGCTCTAGCCTTAGCAGTGTGGGAAAATTTTACTACCAGTCCTTTATCTCCTTAAACGAAATAGGATGAATATATATCATATAACTGAATTGCTAGTAGTATCAAAACTCTATTTATATACGAAAAACTTCTGATATTTGTCCATAAATCAGAAAAGCCGACCTATGATGACCAAATTATTATGCGGATAAAGAAGCCGTCTGTTGATTGGGTTGGATGGCCTCGACCAGGTTGTCTTCATATCACATGTGAGCGGAATGAGACATACCCAACTAAACTACGGTGAAAGAGCTCCTTAAAGCCTTCTACAATTGAATTGGTTTATAATCCATTCGTGAACTCATATCTGAAGGGACATGCGAAGAAAAGTTAGGTTTCGAGGACTCTCTTATTTCATAATTGCTGAGCCTACTTCAATTTCGAGTGAAAGTGTTTTGGGAAAAGATTCGAAGGTCGATTCCACCAAAAGACGATGCCGGATTCCTCTTGACCAACTGTCGATTGGCTTTACTGGAACATTCTTATTGAAGAGATTCCCAAGGTAATTGCCTCGATTCCGACGTACATCATCAGAGCAAGGTGGGTGTCATCCTTACAAACAAATTCGAGCTAATGAGTCAAGAAATCTCACCGACTCATTCATAAAAAGTTATATTTATACTCTATATCATATCTATTTGATGAGGTATAAAGTGATCTGGCTAGTTCCAGTCATATGCCTACCTCGGAGCATATGATTGTATCTGTCTCTTTGTGTGAATGAACCTGTATGTGTTCGCATGTGCACGAAACCAGCAATGGTAAGTAATTAAGCATTGGTAAGTAATTAGGACAGCAAAAGTGACGTCTTTTCTCGGCCATCAATGTTTGATGACGACCATCACCCTCTCTCTCTCTCTTTTTGTATATGTATTAACCATCACTCCGATTGCAACAGGTCGGACACACGTGTGTTTATTTTGATGAGCATTTTTGTCTTCATATGATAGAGAAAGAGTGAGCTAAAAGTACAGAGATGTGACGTTACTCTTGCTGTCCTAATTACTTTTCGCCATCGTTGCTGGTTTCGTGGACATGCGAACACATAGAGGCGCATACACACAAAGAGACAGACACTCACATGCACCGAGGTTGACATAAAGCTGGAACTAACCAAATCACTTTAAGGTATATATTCAGCTTTTTAGGGATGAGCCGAGGAGTTTTCTTGACTCGTTAGCTTCAATTTGGTTGCAACGATGATATCCTACTCTGATAATATTCGTCACATGAAGGACGAAAGCTTAGCACGCTTTCACCGGAATCGAAAGAGATTAACTCGGAAACAGCGTCAACAAGAATGTTCCAGTAAAGCCAATCGGAAGCTGGTCGAGAGGAATCCGCCGTCGTCTTCTGGTGGAATCAACCTTTGAACCTCTTCACCAAATACTTTCACTCGAAGTGAAAGTAAGCACAAAGATTCTGGAGGCGAGGGAGACTGAACTTAAGAATGAATGTTTAATGAAAACGACGAATAAGTGTCTGTTTTAAGACCTGTCAACCTGAGCATCTTGAAAAGAAGAATTGGGAAACTCACTTATTAGGCACACATGTGGGCAGTAAAGGCAAAAAAAT